CGGCTGGCTTGACTTGGCTCGAAAATCACGCAGCTTGGCCCCGGCTGGGCGGATCAAGCTGACGTGGATACCGCTCCAGCTCGCAATAAGCTGGAGCCAAGCGGAATGGTCGGAGACTGCCCAGCTGGCTGGTCGTGATGACACCATTTCGTGATGGATTGCCGGTAATGGAAAGACCTACCCACGAAGCGCTCGACATCTGATACTGAACGCTCCATATCGCTTTTCATCTTACCCCCTCCTCACATCGCGTTATCCCCTTCCTCGCCATAGCAAGAGCCAACCATATCTACTCATACTTTGCAATGTATCTATAGCCAGATTATGTGTTTTCGTAGACAGGTTCACGCGTTTTTGAGCCATCCACCTGACAAACTCCCATCCACTTACCGGCCGTGATGACGACGGTTTCACCCTTATTTCGCGAGGAGATGGAGTCCGAGTACTCATGGAGGCCCTTCAAGTCTTGAGGTTCCGGTACAAGCAGGAGCGTCTGGACCTCGTGGGGAACGTTGTTACCCGCGTCGAGGAGCTCACCTTAGATGATCTTGACACAGAAGGCGAGATGTGACTCTTGTATCGTCTTCTGCGCAATTTCCTCACCAGTAGCAGTCGTTCTGTACATAACTCGTAATGTATATATAGCCCGTCTCTTTCCATACGCTCACAGTCGAAGCTGCGCGCATCTGAGTACCATATAAGGCGCGTAGCTTGCCAGCCGGTCAGCCCATCAAGCTGGAGCTGGGTGCGAGCTGGGCAGCTGGCTACGAATCAGCTGGATGCCGGCTCGGCTGGATCCGGCTGGCTTGCCCCACTTGATCAAGCTCCACCGGCTTGGCTTGGCTGGCTCGAATTGGCGGCAACACTACTCTCGAGCGCGAGCCAAGTTGACTGGACAGTCTGCTAGCAGCCTTGTCGTGATCCATTTTCGCGTTGTCCCGCGTAAAGGTCACCCTCAACTACAAGTGCAATACAATAGTCCTACATATGATACCACTTTTTGCGCCGCTTTACGCCCGACTCGCGCTGCAACATGTGCTAGGTGTCCCCTATGTCCGCAAAACATATTCTTGGCACCTCCAAGTCTCGTCACCTCTAGTAGCATGGTGCTCGCGGACGGAGTGACTGTCAAGTAATAATGCAACTCCCCGATACCAGCTTCTCGAGCACCTATTTTCTCACCAGAACGTTCCCATGCATCGCTTCCTGCGGCTCAGGCAGGGTCCAGGACTGCGAATGGCCACGTCATAGGAGGAAGAGAAGGTAGATGCCTTCTCTTGCATATGCAGCACCGTCCTGTCATTTAGAGCCGCTCATGCAGCCCACTCTGGGGAGGTTGCACTGGGAATTGGCGCAGCGGCATGTCGATCCACTCCAAGCTGCCGGGAAAGTCCTGGGAAGGTTGTAGTATAGCCTTTCGGACAAACGAAATCCGCCCTTCCGATGAAAGCGACCTTGCTGCACATCGCATTGAAGGTCGTCGATGGCTGCAATAATGTATGTTCTCGGCATTTTCCCGCGACAAGTCGCATGCGCAGACAATTCTCACCGAGTCGTCCGACGGAATCCGGTCCACGTTTAGTCCGTACCCTCATGCGCAGCGTTTTGACTCAAACGAGAGCCCATCGTAATTTGTACGTACCTCCTTGGCCGCTCATTAGGAGAGGAGGGTGCATGCGTGGGACGGCCGTTCATGCATCAGCGCAGAGCGCTTCGCTGGACCATTGTCTATGTTGCTCTCAGTACTGTGCACTTACGTGATTGGCGGCGATTAAACAGAGCGTCAATACTATCGGACCGTACCGCAGAGAAAAGCGCGAACACGAGGCCGAGAAGATGGGGGTCGCTGTCCAGAGCCTACTGGAGCATCCCCGATACAGAGGTGAGAGATGATATGGTAGACGAAGAGAGCCGGCGGGGATCGCGCGCGCAAGCTTCGCGGGACAGAGTTGTATTTGAGTAAGCTCAGCCTGGAGCTTACCGTAGATGGTCACATTACTGTCTTACGGCTTGAGATCCGTAAGTTCGTGATGGCCGGTGGGAGGAGATTTATAGTGACGTACTATGAGCCCCAAGCGTCCTACGGGTGCACGCCCGTATCATCAGGTGCACCGACACTGACTGGCGAGTATACGCGCGCGAGAGTCGCTCCGTCAGACAAGATACATACGAAGAAGATACGGGACTTAGAACTATGATTGCAGGACTTCTGATAGCAATCGGTGAAACGCGGCTCACGATCATATATCACCCGCAACTCTGTCCCAGCCGATACTCAAGCTCGTTCGATGAGCCGAAGATGCCAAGCGTGGGTTCGTCTGGAGTGACCAGGGACAATGTCTGAATATGTTCTATAGGTCATTGCATCGTCCATCTGAGTGCAGCGGCGCGCGTTACCTAGACGAAATCGCGCTTGTCAAGGGTCTATGCTTTTAAGTTCGACCACCATGGTAACCTGAACGCTGGCAAAATCATCAATACCATACACCAGTCGGGTGGTCGATAGCAGCCGATGGCACTCCGGTGAGTAGGTGTTGCGCCCGGGGACCCAGCGGTGCTTATTTGGCGGTACTCACAAGCGGATGTAGTCAGTCAACAAAACCCTGGAAGGTGCTTGGGAGCAGTCGCTGAGCCACTAGTAGTAGATCCCTACGAAGGGAATAAGAAAAAGTAGGGACGAGCCTAAATGAACCTTACGCATATGTAACTCACGTTCAACGCCAGGCGGCTATTCAGCGGCATGCGATCACTTGGATACCGGGCTCCACTTCTGTGGGGCATGCCGTCGCTCAACAGGCCTCAAGGACAGGCCGAGGGTACGTTGGCTGACACTCTGCAGCGTTTGCGAAGCATTCGTAATAGACGCCAGTGGTTGACCGCTGCCCGATGAGGAACAAGCGAACGGCTTCATCGCGGCATCAGTAGAGACACGAGGACGTCCATGTCCGCACCGCAGCCCGCAGAAACGACAGGTTCTGGCATCTACGGGCGGCGCTGCAGCACGACCCAGAGCATCCTGGGCGGCGGCTGACGTGCAGTTTTCAAGAAGACGGACTGAAGCGGGGAAGACTCCTTGCGAACCGTGGTAGGGGGCACGAGGTGCGGTGATTTATCAGCGGGATGAGCTTGTTTGAAAGGAGGTTTGCTGCAGAGATCGTCAACCAAACCACACAATTGTGCCATATACTGGAGCACTTACGTGTCTTGATCTGAACCTAGAATGGAAGGTGTAGTATTAGGCCACAGGCTTGGTTGAGTGTCCATGCGTGATATTGAGGAGTCAGTCAACGATGTTGGGATACAATGAAAGGCAGCATAGAAATAATCGTAGCTATATACATTTTATAGCGTGGTCGTCACGGAATGACTGAAAGCAGACAGCAAAACGAAACAGGAGAGTCCTCCAGGTATGCCAGCAGTGTACAAGTAATGTAGCGACATCTAGGAAAGCATTATAAATACATAACGTTAGGGGTATAGGAACGTGGTAGAAAGGTCGATGAAGGAGGCCCAGCGACAACGGATAGACAAGAGAGACAGATGAAAAGGGAATAATGTACGAGACTAGACGGAGATCGAGAGACGGAGGAACAGAGATACATCTGTGAGTCGAGCAATAAAAAAGAAAGCAAGCAGAGGCAGCAAGATATACACCAGCAAGCGCATCTATCATAGCCCAACAGCAGCCGAAAAGCAACGAATAACACTGGGAAACCACGAGATCGTCGCCGCTCAGCAGCCTTCGTAACGGGTCGTGACGTTCTCCCCCCCCCCATCGCAGCCACACTCCTCCAGCCGCGTTTACTTTTGGTTTCGTTTTTGTGTGTTGGTGACGATGGACTCATCGCCGGCCCCACGGGTTCGCGCTGCGCCCGCCAACGGGCGTAGCAAGCGTCTCGCGCGCCTTCTGTGCCGTGACGAACATCGCCATCGCCTCCTCGAGGCCCTTGCCTTGCCCGCCAGTGGCGTGGTCCAAAGACCTGGACGCGAGCTCGAGCATGTCCTCGAGACTGTCTTCCTCTTTCCTCTGCCACTGACGTCCGGCCGTGCCCCTAGCAGACCCCCCAAAACCAGAGTCAAGACCAGCAGGCCCGCTGAAGCCAGCATCGAAGCCAGCAGACCCAGCACCAAAGCCAGACGGTCCAGCGCCATAGCCTCCAGATCCCGCCCTTGGGTCCGCGCCCCACTGCGCCCAACCACCGCTCATACCGGCACCCATGCCCATGCCTAAGTCCCCGCCGGATCGCCCCGCGGCGGCCATGGCCGGGGTAGGGGTGGCAGCGGCGGCGCGCCCGCGGTCAGGGTGGGCAGAACGGCCGCGCTCCTTTTGCGGCGGGGCACTCTCCGAGCCGAAGAGAGCCCAAGGCGACGCACCGGCGAGGGCCCCGAGGATGCCGCCGAATCCGCCTGGGCCTGCCTGCGCGCCGCTGTCGTGATCGTCGTCGTCATCGTCGGCCTCGTCTTCGCTGAGACCCGCCTCATCCTCGGACGACGAGCCGGCGAACCACGCAACGTAGTCTTTGCCTGTGGGCTCAACCATCGGAGGGGGCGATGGCGGTTCTGGCGACTCGGGCTCCGTGACATGCGCAAGGCGGGAGGGACGTGTCGGCGCGTATTGATTTTTGTTGCTGGGCGCACGAGCGACAGGAGGGGCCCACATCCCGTTCGGAGTAGACGGAGGTTTTGCCTGAGGCTCAACGGGCTTCAGCGTGCCTGCAGCTTTGGCCTTCGCAACTTCCCAGGGAGACATGCCGGGAGGGACGGGGGTGCCACGACCGTTAGGAGAAGGAGTAGGAGCGAGTCTCGTGTTGATGGGAGCGAGGGTTGCAGGAGGTACTACAGGCGGAGCAGGGGATGCAGAACGAAGCGGGGCCGTGACCTTCGCGCCCCATCCAGATGCAACGGGCTTCTTCTCAACGACAGGCACGGGCTTCTCAACGACGGGCGCAGACTTCATGGCAGAGGCAGCAGGCTTTGCAGAGGGAGGCGCTGATGGTGTCGGGGTGGACCGGCCATTAGTCGCAGCCTTCTTGCCCTTCTTCTTGGCCGCCTTGCCCTTGAGCGGGATCTCAATGACTTCATCAACATCCGGCTCAGGCTCGCGCTCGATCTCGGCCTCCTCCTCGGGCTCAGGGACGGGAGAGACGTGGATGCCGTCATCAGGGAACGCGCCAGGAGGCTGAGATAATATCGTCTGCGACTTCGGAGCAGAAGGCGGTGGCTGCGGCGGCGCGCCACCATCGCCGCCGTATCCCCGCTTGCGCCGTTCCTTCTCAATGATGGTGTCCCGATTCTCGACGATCGTCCGCGCAATCTGCTCCATCGTCATCATGTGCGCGCGGATAGTCCACTCGCGCTCCGCGGGGGACATGGGCTTGCGGAGCTCGCGCGCCAGCTCAGCGTCGACGGTGGCAGCCTTGTCGTGGAAGTCCTTGATCGAGTTGACGTAGGCGTTGTCCACGAGCTGTACGAACTTGGCATCGGAAGTCGCTGCGCTATCGAGCGGCACCATCGCAAGGGAGATAGGAACGGGGTAGGCGAGCAGGCCGTGTGCAGGGGCGGCAGAAGTCACAGTAGGTTCAGCCTGGACAGCTGGCTGCGCAGGACGAGGTGCGGGTTGAGAAGCCTGAGGCGGCTGTGGAGCAGGGACCGGCTTAGGTGACACGCGGACGTCCTCGATGATCGGTGCATTGGGTCGTGCGCTCCAGGCAGAAGTAGTCTTCTACGCAGCATATATCAATGAGACAGCGCGATCGGTGGCCACTCGCGAGATCACATACCGGTGGCTCCTCGGGCACTTCTGTAACAGAGGTATGTCGGGGACCTGCTGCCCATGCCGACCACGCAGGCTGGCCCTGGCTGCCCTTCTGTGCGGAAGGGGGCGGCTGAGCTTGTGTCGCCTTCTGAGACGCAGCTGGCGGAGGGGTCTGCGTCGTGCGACTAGTCATGGGATGCGACGCTATCGGGTGAGGGACGTCCACATGCGTCCTCGCCGCGACAATCGGGACTGCTCGTTCGTGTGGTGAAGGGATCGTCGACACAGCAGGCCCGTCACCGACATCGTCGCACGACAGAACCTGCTCGACGGCAGCCATCTCTTCCGGGGTCATATCTGCCCAGTCCTCCGCCTGGAGGCCCTCCTTCTCCAGTCGTCGCTCCCACTCAGCGCGCGCAGCCATCGCGAACTCGCGCCGCATGGAGTTGACGATCTGGTCTTTGCTCTGCTCGAGCGCCTTGCCTTTGACGCGGCTGTTCTTCTCGGCGACAGCGAGCAGCTGCTCGAGCTGCTGCGCCACCGTGGCTTGCTGGGGCGCGACCCACGTCTCGTCGAACTGCATCCAGACCACACGCACCCTATCGGAACGCGTGAGCACACGCTTCTGTGAGGGCCCTGGTCTGGGGGCTGGGATCGCCGTCCTCGTAGGAGGCATGGTGGGCACGGGCAGTTTCGGAGGGGACGCAGAAAGTTTGGGCGGCTGTTGCGCCACCTTCTGTGCGGCGTGAGCGGGCTTCGGCGGGGGGACATTCTGAGGAGGCGCAGTCGTCGCCTTGAGAGGTGGGGAGACTCTCATGGGCATCGCAGGGACTGTTGCGGGGGTCATCGTGGAGGTTGTTACAGAGGGCGCAGGAGGCTTGGCCTGGGCAGGGGGTTTGAGGCTGTTGTTGTTGCCTCCCTTCTTCCTGCGGTTCATGTTGGGCTGAGTACGAGCGCGACTGGCCTGCTGTAGATGCGTTCGGCGAGCTTAGCAGTTATGAAAGCAGTGATTTCTGTCGACAACATAGAACGAGTGGGAGGAATAGTGGAAGAAGAGTCGAGTGAGTCAAAATCGTCCGCTTGCAGACTGCCGGCAGACGCCGGCGAAAAAGTCCGACTCTCTTGATGGGGCGATGTCGGCTCAAGTGCTTTTGTTCCTCGCGCTCGTCCCCCTCAGTTGGCTCTCCCTGGCATCTTAAGTTGTAGCGAACGTCAGAGAGTCTGCAATGATAACACAAGGGGGAGGTAAGTGGAGTTATATCATTCCTGTCATGAAGTGAGCAAAAAAATTTCACGGAGTCTTCAGGGTACCGTTGTGCTGTCCAATTGATCCCAGGCTTTCTCTCTCGTTTCCTTAGGGACCTATCTGGGAGGTACAAGGGACTCACATAGAGCGGGGACGATCGGTCTGAGGACATGAAGAAGGTGCGTCATATATGGGATGGACGATCGGCACCAATCGATCAGTGTCATGCGGTCGTTTGGGCCGACAGAGACAAGATTTATCTTGATGACCTTGAGGATTATAAGGGGATGAACCTGTCCTGACGTGGCTGAATGTATGGCCAGGGCCATGCATTCTGTTACGTCACCCGAAGGGAAAGATAGTCATTCGGACCAGGGAGCCTGACTGTATCAATCGCGTCGTTACTGCATGATTCAGGATGTTCAGTAGCAGGGCTCACCTGGACGACACCAAGGTTTTACTGAGGCCCATGTGTCGAGAATACACAAAGGTGGAGTCATGGCTACTGCGATGTCACGACGGGTGGATCGCATTATACAAATCTGCAGTGCCCGGTGTCTCTGTGTCCGGAGTAGCTGATATCATCTATTGGTAAGTGGAAACTGTCCTCAATTCTTCAGGGGTTGGCCAGTCGTTGCCACGTCATACAACGCCATACAGGTCGTTTCCATGGTGGCGTAGCACCTGACTACCATCGTCTACATTGAGCTCGATGCAAACCTGCGATTATTCATGCAGCAGGCCGACAAAGACTAGGACGGCGGAGGGAGGTGGTCAAGGATAAAGAGCAGATGCACTTGTCAATCGTCACATTTCGAGACTACTATGGCGACGTGAAGAGACAATGTGTTGATCGAGAGGGCTCTCTTCACAATATCTGTGGTTGACTCTTGTGCTACGGAAATGCCACGACCGAGCTCATCTTGTTCCATCTCCACCCGCGATGCCATGATGGAGTGCAATTGTCGTGACCTGGGCACGCCCAAGATAGTGAGGTATGATTCGCGATGAAGCTAGATGAGATCGACACATTGCCTCCCTGCAACGTCACGGCGAGAAATGTCTCTCATACGATGGCGGGCTTACTAGGGGTCGATAAGCGACGACACTCATCGGTCCGATCCTACACCTGTATCTTATATGCAGGGGCTATACTGGTGAGCTAAAGTACAGTAATCGCAGAATGTACACATGATTTTTGCAGTTGCCGATCGTTCCGACGATGACGCTTGTAATCATCAATTGCTTCACGAGTACTCTCGGATCCGGTTTGTCTGGCGCTTAGTGAAGCAAGGCGTGCATTCTCGTATTTTGTATGACGTCGTAGGCACGAAGGTCCGAGGCCCTCTCGACCCTCTAACTGAGTCATCGCAGCCATGTGGCCCCCGCCCAATTCGGCATGGGACACGCGCAAATGGTTAGGCTCCGCAGGCCCTGTGGTATATCAAGGCGCTCCCGCGAGTCGCGGCTTTCATCTCCACGACCTTCACGACCCACGCACTAACAGACGGACCCCTCCGCCATCACGAGCGAAGACATCAACTATGGCCGACAAGGTGTCCCCGACCAGCGACGTTATCCTGTACTTCCTCGCCATGTAAGTCATATTACAGCTTGCTGGATCGCTGCTGCAGGCGCCCTGACGTCATCGTCTGCCAGTTTCATCCCTCCCTTGTCTGTATTCTTCAGTGAGTTCGCCGAGTAAATCCATCCTCCATTTCGCATATCTGCTGACATTCGCATCATAAAGAGAGAGGATTGAAAGCAGGTTCGTCATGCCGTGCGTTGATATGAACTGCGAGGTTAATATATGAACGCCTCGAACAGATTTCTGGATCAACATCCTCTTGTGGATCCTTGGGTGGATACCCGGTGTCCTTCACGCATGGTATGCCCCTGCACAAACAGTCTCATTTACAGGAGTTGTGCTCATTGAGTGTGCAGGTACATCATATCTAGGAGCGAAGGCGCCATGTGAACACCTGCCGCTCGGTCGTACCATCGGATCTTGGACTCGTATCGTACTGTAATAGTGATTCAACCATGCGTATATAGATTCACCTGTTCCTTCTCGCGTTACATGGAGAGTGTACCTAAGTCCAAGTATCTGTTGCCAGGCTCTCGATAGGGTTACGTCGCCCCGGAGAAATCGCGTCGTCCAGGGGCACCTTAAAATCGAAATGCACGACCATGAAAGCGCACGGTGCGCTGGATAGATGAGGACTATGGAAAATACTTGATCATAGCTTCGATGTGAGTTATACTTCAAGAGGTGGTCGCCGCTACCAATGTTGATACCGGGTGTGGCACCAGCCTTTGCTTTCGCCCGCCGGCCTATTATCAATCAGTCTCGTGACGATGTCTGTGTGCTGAGTGGTGGCGACGAGCACCAGTATGATGCACAAAGACGAGTAAGATGCGAGCATGAATGCAGATCTGGACCTTCGTAAACGAACGTTGAGGGAAATAGAGAGGTGAAGGTGAGTATATACACGAGAAGGATGCTACATAAGAACGTCGTTAATAAACATTGGAATAGATGTGTGTGGAGCTACGGAGTACAGCTGGACGATACTACGTGATTCGTTGCTGACTACTACATTGGACAGCGAGGTATAGGGAGGGCTCTCCACTATAATTGAGACGTATAAAAATCAAAATGGTACGTGCGCATTTTCTGGTGGCTCCATCCATTGACGTGTAAACTGCCTAGCTGCACGACTACCAGGTAGTAACGGCGCAGAGTGGCACCCCACATCGCGATCGCGCATCACACCTGCCTCTCAGCGAGTCGGACCCGGTCGTCAGACCCGGCCCAGTTCGCAGGGTAGGACGATGGCGACCACACGTGCGGGTCGCCGCTGTACACGGCGTACAAAAAGTCAGCGTGCGCACTAGCACGCTCCTCGGCCTCCCGGACAGCCCCTGCGAGGGCCGCGACGTTCTCCGCGTTGGGGTCTTGGTTAGGCCGGCGGCGGCGGCGACGCGGACGCGCTCCCGGACGAAGAGCCCCGTTTGGGGTGAGGCGTTGTGCGGCCCGCTCTGCTTGGCTTGCGCGACGTGCTCGTCGCTCGGGGCCGGTGGTGGTGGTGGTGGTGGTGGTCGGTGCCGGAGGAGGACTAGCAGTCCGGGGGCTGACGCGGCGCGGGGTGGTGGGGAGTTGCGCAGGCCCCGGGTCCGCGATGGTCACCCGGGTTGTGTTGGCCGGGGAAGTCGCGCTGGTGGCGGGGGCGGTCGTGTCGGCAGTGGGTGCGGGGTGCAAGAGGATCGGCCTCAGTGGGGGGTTCTGAGCCGCGACGACAGTGGTGGTGCTCATGTTGGATGGGTGGATGTAGGATGGGTAGATGTAGGACGGGTAGATGTTAGGTGAGTAGATGTTGGGGATGATAGCGACAGGTCGTCGACGGGGGGAAGAGGAAAGGACGAGGGTGCGACCTCGGGGTAGCGCTAGTCGAGGCTTAAGAGGGGACCAGAGGGAATCTAGCCGAGGGGGTCCGCCTGAGGCGGCGCTACTCTGCCGCGTGTCCCGCTGAGTTTGGATCTCCCCACCATTATTGAGACAACTGCGTGACCCGGGGTTCGGTATCCTGGCCTGGTGCAATATATCATAATCTACACGCAGAAGACAGCGAACTCTGAGAGCCATATGGGGATGAGGCGTTTTGGGCGAGCCGGGCACCCTTGGAGGTGATATCGGACTTGATGTCTACGACGACGTCGCACGGCAGGCAAAGCGCGATGGTCCAGGTGAGGAAATCTACGCTGAACATACGGGCGATGCAACGTGCCCATAAGATTACCCAAATGACAAAGAGGGATACAAAGGCCCACTGGAAATGCTAGGGCCAGGTTGCATTGCCTATAAATGCTGCACAAATTTCCCTGCTTGGAGCCTGGCGCTTTGCCCGCCGTGTCGAGACAGAATGCTCAGAGACACACTATAGTTGGTTATCACACATGATCCAATCATCCTTAAGCATTGTTGTGATGCTCATGAGAAAGCGCGGAGGGAATTGCGACAACATGTTATGAAGGAGTACAATAACATGACTGAGTGAACAGACCGGATGAGAGGCTAGCGATCCTTCCATCCTTTCGATAACGGCATACATAATGATAAGTTAAGTGAAACAAAGGGACAATGAAAGCGAGGAGCAGGAAGTGGGGCGCAAGCGTGAATAGCAAACTGGACATATCGACGAGACGGCATCACCACGTTAAGTGGTGCGGTACTGTCAAAGAGAAATGGCAACGAAAGGAGATCATGCGGGGTCCCGGCTACTTCCCTCACCTCGCGAGTCGCGACCCTTTCCCTTGCGACTCTTTCCCTTGCGACCCTTTCCCTTGCGGCGGGACGATTTCTGACAATGCACGTGAGAAATTGAGCTGACACCACCCGACGACTTGAAACCACTTACGCCACATTTCTTCATATGATTCGTCGTCAGATAGGTCTGACGCATGAACTCCTGGCCACAATGCGGGCACTCATACCGAATCCCGAAATGATCCTCCTCCAAGTGCCGGTTGAGCTGCATGTGCTCCAGAGTGAAGTGGTCGTGGCAGCCACCCCATGGGCACTTCACCTCGGTGCCGTAGTCGGGGTATTGAGCGACTGTGGTCTTCCTGGGTCGGCTGGGACCCGGAGTACCGAGGCTTGGCGATGAATCACCAGCAAAGTGTTCCCGGAAGTGGGCGCGAGCGGCAGAGAGCCCCGAGACCTTGAGGACTTCACTGCAGCCGCGCACGCCACAGGTGAGCTGCGAGTGCCGAGAGACCAGGTAGGGACATGGTTTCCCCGTGTCTTCGTCGAGAGCCTCGGGCTCAGGAGGAGTGGGAGCGGGCCTGTCCGTTCCCTTTCGGGCCCTCTTACGGGAGACCATCTGATCCGCGTTCGAGCCACCAGCGTGGTCCGCCCGGCAACGTTTGGCGGGCCTTGCGGGTGGGGTCGGGAGGGGAGACGGTGATGCAGCCACTTCCTTGCCCTTGCCCTTGTCGGAACGAAGGGCTTGAGGACCGGACGGGAGAGGCGCAGCGGAATTCTCCTTGTCGTCTTCATCGTCGTCATTAGCGGGGGTGGAGGCGGGAGATGGAGGCAGATCAGGGAGCTGGCCTGGGGCCACAGGGACTGGTGAGGCGTCGCAGAGGGGCGCCGTCGAAGCGAACGAAGCCACCGTAGCGGGTGGCGTGGCGGGCGAGGAGTGTGCCGGGAGGGTGGGGGTAGGGGCGGGAGTGCTTATTCGAAGCTGGAAGACGTGTGAGGGTTGGTCGTAGTTGCCCCGCAGGATGATGAGTATCTGAGAAGCTATCGGCTGCGTGTAACAGCTCACCTGGCTCGCGTCCTCTCTCGCATGCGAGGAGCTCTGGGGGTCTTCCCCGCCTTGCTGGAGCGACTCATCACGTTCTGCCAAGATGAAGCCGGCGGCGACGAGATCCTGGATGAAATCGTCGTCGGAGTGGGTGAAGTCGTTGTGGTCGTAGGACATCTTGCGGCCGGTAGACGAGAGTGGATGGAACCGCAGGGAAAAGGGGATATGGGAGTTAGAGGAAGAGTCTAGTCGTGGCTAGGAGATGGAATTTATATGTTGAGATAGCGGAGACCGTAGTTGATTATGTTATGTTCATAATGGGCGAGCAGCACGAGGCGCCAGGAAGCGATACAATCGCCAGGGATTCCCCCCAGATTTCGAGGCGATGTCGCCCCCAACCTCTCCCGTTGAAAACGAAATATACTTCTCTGCACGCTCGTGCTCGGCATCTGTTCAACGTCGCCGATGAGCTCATGAGTTCCTGCGTCCACTGTCAGATTTATTTTGGTGCGCGACGCAGTGCGAAGCCGTCATCGTCATATTGTGCGGCGCTCGCCGGCACGCTTTGGCCTGCATAGGTAAGCGCCCTCAGTCATCCGCGGAGTCCGCTTTGCACCGTTTATCCAAGTTATTTGCCCAAGCGCGTGCACAATAGGTTTCCCTTTCATCCTTTGTCTCATCTCCAGCCGTAGACATGCCTGTGACTATGACTGGAGACTAGACCTTGCCGACGGGTGATCCGTCCGGCCCTCCACGGTCACGCACCGGACGCGTCCTTCTCAACAAACGTGTGTCGACCAAGACGCGTCCGACGCCCGTCGCCTTGCATCACTCGTTCCCCTGCATTCAGTCAATCGCGACGTAGACCTACCGAAGACCCAGAGGATCGACCAGGACAAGTCTTAGCCACAGCCGCCCAACCACACCTTGCTCCGGATCAACGGCTCGACACGAAGCGCTCCTGTTCAACCTCAACGTCAAGACTCACCTGCGACCAGGTATCCGTGGTTGCGGCCGTCTTGTGGGACATGTGTCCGTTGCCCTTCAACAGTGAGGGCGCCCACGCGCTCATAACCTGTCGGTCGAACACATCAGTACCCTCGCTCACCTACACAAGCAAGATGCCACTGAGTCTTTCGCCTCCTACGGCCTCAGTTCATGACGCGTAAGCCACTCATTTTCACTCGATTGATTGTCAGCTTACCGACATATCACTCACCTTGAGAACCATTCTACGCCCTTCGGCAGCTGCACCCCCAAGACTAGCAAGAACTCCATGACAGGCACTGACATTGGATGAATATCTATCGTCTGTGTTTCCCCACTAGCTAACAGCCAGATTGGAGTTCATGCATAGAACTAACGAGCCACAGCACCGAGAGAGTATAGGCCAGCATAACACAGAGAGCCAAGACGAAGACGCGAAGAATGCAACGGTATGTGTTCGGCCTATATAGGATCGCAACATGTCCATTCTTACGCCACAATACCAAGTACCGGTATAGGAGGTCTGCACGCAATTGTGTTTCTGACACGCTCCACACTGATGAAGTTGGAATTATAGAAGACGCTTGACACACGCTGCAGCAGAAAGTGGACGATGTTAGCTTCTCAAGGACTGCTTGGGATGCAGGTGAGTGCATGCTGCCATTCCAAAAGACCAAACAGAAGACGATGTGGGACCCGAACTGAAGGAGACAGGGGACGTACCGCAGGGGGACGGACCAACCGCTCACTGGGTGCAATGGGCAGCGGCGTGCTCGACGAGGATATGTGAGCATAGTGGTCGTAACTCACATTTGACGCACCTAGCAGTTACGACATTGCGATGCAGCTGGCCTCAGAAGGCGGCGCGCCATGAGCGGCTGGCTCTGCCGTGAACCTCTCATCCATGACGGATCAGTGCGCGGACCGGTCAGTACTTCATATTCGCGTGTGGTGCAAGCATTGAGCTCCCCGTTGAAAGGAGACTGTGTGGAAGACGCGATTGATGGGTTCCATCCACCCGCCGAACATCGCCATTCGTATGCACGAGGAATGCCCTTCAGAGCGCACGATACCTCTAGAACGTCTACGCTCTGTCAAAAGCCAGATTTCCCAGTCCATGCGAAATGGAGGCCGGTTCCACGTCTACACGCAAAAGGTGAGCCAAGATTGCCTGATGCTCAATTAGCCTACCTGCTTACTGGCACAAACCTTTGTAGACTTGCCCACGCCTGTCCCTGACATCCTCTAGACTCGTGCAGGCAGGTGGTGCCCTTGAATATGTAAGTGTGTTCCGATACGGCACGTCTAACCACGACATGTTTGGGGCTGATCTCGTTGAACACAGGCAAACCGCTTCGCAAGTATGCATCGGTACACGCATCTCCCAGAAGTCAACATGCACTCCAGAGGCCGTCTGCTCTAATCACGAAATCAGAGTATGCAGCCAATTTCACATGGACGCGTGCATAACAGGAGTAATGTCACCCATCAACATGTTCACTTGGGTCCGGCTATCGGCTTGTCTTAGACTTCCTGTGGATAACGTATAGTAGCATCTAATAAGGTACGCACCATAGTCAGCGACCCCGGGCGGCCACAGGTTTATTGTCCTGGGCGTTTATCCCGAAGCGTCGCTTACGACGGTATTCCAGTAGCACACCGACGGTGGCCCTACCTGCAAGCGGTACGCATTCCATATCTCCGAGCTTGGAGGTATCTGATAATGAAGCTCAGTGACTTGTGAAACCCGATGGACTTACCGGACAAGGCCTTCAGTTCCCCTCCGCTCGGGACCAACCAACTCCAGTCAACGTTGTTAAGGGCTTCTGGCATTGTGAAGATATCATAGCAGTGGCGCAACGGAACCCATGTGTGTGCAGAAGGTGCATAGTTTTCCGAGACGTAGAGGGAGACCTTGTGAGTACACCTTGATCGTTCGACTCTCAACGTGGAAATCTGCGTATCATCACGTTGTGTTGCCCCAGTCCCAATTCAGAGCGATTCCACGAGGAGGCCCAGAGACGGGTTTGACCGCTGGTTAGGGGGTCGATGGAGACGATGGCAGGAAAGGGAGGGAAAGCAGGTAGGATGCTCAGGCGTAGTGGTTGGAAGAATTCATGGCCGTCTTCGATGAAGCGTTAACAGGCCGGCGTCAAGGTGGCCTTATATACCCCTGCTTAAAGTTACCGCCTAGTATTTCCATCACGGCCCGCAGGGCTTAATATCCTACTTGTCTCCGAATCCGAGTCGCCCTTGTTGTTTGCAGCTTTTGTCTCGCTTGAGGGACACGTGTCACTGCGGGTCCTGCCTACTCCATCGCTACCGACCTGCAGGTCTCTGCGCGGACTTAGGCGGGCCTGGAAGACTGTTTTTCCATGTCTGGGGGCACAAGACCACGTCCCTGGTGCCCATAGGGTCATCAATTGCAAGCAAGGTGGGTTACAAGAGCCTACAAGTGGCGAATTTTGCTCAGGGCGAACTGTGTCTCTCCGTTTCCCTGCGCCACGTGACTCTCCACGAAGTTTGTAACCACCATACCCACTGCTCGCTTTCTCCGCTTGGATAGTTAGTCATGTATGTAACGAAGACGGGTTCGCAATAGGTCTCTATCTATGTACATGTAGCTGGTTGAGCTTCAAGATCATCACCGCCAAGCGGGTTGCATTACTGGACGATCACGAACGACAATCAGGGAGCCTGGGTCAACTCGGGCTCGGCAAGGATCGTTCTGATCGCCTACCCGAGGTCTGAAATGCAGAGAAATTGCCGTCGACCAATGCGTATACGACATAAAATATCCAATTCCGTCGAAATCAGATATTCATCCTGGAGTAAACTACATCGTACACCGTGATAGACTGGCTGTCCGTCCCCTGAATTATGTAGCGTACGGAGAAACAAAATAAGCGACTGCACTAAACGGGGAAGGTCAAAGGAACGGGGGTGCGAATCTAACGCTGAGCAGGAAGGAGGACAGATATCGCGAACAACACAACGTACTGCAAGAAGTGGGAAAGAGGTCAAGAGAACTCGCTCACTCAACCTTCTTCGACTCCCCGTTTTCGATCGGTTTCCTCCTCTCGAGCACCTGTACCCATTTCTTCGGGAACCAGCCTTCCCTCCCATCTCTTGTCCTGCCCTTCCACCACTCACTTCCCTCAACCTGTATCGCCAGGATCAGCGGTGCTCCAGAGACAGACGAGAGACAGCTACGCACCTCGATCCTGGGATCTACCTCCGCACCAGTGGCAGGGTCAAGCTTTCCCATAATCGCGACGATCTCGTTCTCCTTCAGCGACAGCTCCGCCTGCGAGCTTGCCTCAAACGGATAGAGCGCCCTCGCGAACGTGAGCTGCGACGGGTCCAAGGGAGGCAGGGGTCCTTGAATCTGTCCCGCCGCCATCTGCGCCTGCTGCCGCTCCGTCAGGATCTTGATGAGCTTGTGCATCGCATACGGCACGCCGAATATCGCGAGCAGGAAGATGATGAGGGGCTTCTTGCTCGCCTTCGGGGCCTGTGGTTGCGGGCCTTGTACGGGCCGCCCGTTGATGAAGTCGCGGAACTCGCCGCGCATCGCACCCTGCGGGGATGACCGCCCGGTGAGCAGTTCGCGCATCCATCGTACGAGCCCGAAGAGACCGAGGACACTGCCCAGGGCGTTGCGGAGCTGGCCGAACTGCTCGACGACGCCGACCATGGCAAAGAAAGAAGAATGGGTGGCCATGAACGTGCTTTCGAGCATCTGCGCGACGCCAGTGAACGTCTGAACGATGGAGTGCAGGAGTGCGAAGGTATGCTGGGTGGTAGATTCGAGTGATTGGGAGAGAGAGGGGTTGTTGGGGTCGAAGGGACCTCCTGGGCCTGGCATCCCGCTGTACATCCCTGGCATGCCTCCGTACATGCTGTTCATGCCGTAGCCGCCGCCATAGCCACCGCCGTAACCACCGTAGCCTCCGTATCCCATGCCGCCATACATGCTATTCATGCCATATGGCGAACCAAGTGTGGAGCCGTAGCGGTAAGGAGAGACAGACGAGTAAGGTGATGAGAAGGAGCTGGCCAAAGCGGGATTCGTGGTCGGCAGCGCGGGTGAGGTTCCTGTGGAGAATGCGGCGGGTCGTGTGGGGACCGAGGGGGGTGCGGAGGTAGAGGGCGCTGTGGTCGCTCCTGGCGCAGCCGTTGTCGCCGCAGGCGTTGCTGTAGTCGTGGCGGGGGCGGCCGTCACCGCGGCGCCGCCCCTCTCCCAAGGCTTTGGTGGTGAGGGCATGGAGGACAGTGGTCAACGATGTGGAGGACGACAAGAATCGCGAGCAACGGCAATGCTCGGTCTCCGGCTCCGTCGGCCTTTGCCGAGCGCGCCATTCGGTGCCACGCCGGGCGCCCTACAGCCGCACCACGACGATGTCGAGGACGGACTCGTCGTCTGCAAAACCATTCCTGATCTGAGCTGACACCGGCTACGCTCAACAACGAGTTTCTGCGCTGCAACCCATGTGAGTCTCATCGGACATGGTGCTACTCGCATCGCCATCCACAGGTGTAGAAGGCTAAGTTGGCCGCATATTTGGTATCATCTCAATGCTATCCACGCCTGCGTCTCGGGGTCAACTGTACGGCGCGCGTTTTGTTAGGTCGGAGAATATAAGGTCATATAAATTGAGGTGAAGAACAGGCATATACACATGTGAGTCATACATACATGGGGCATACTGGGTGGTGGTGATGATACAACAACAGACTCGGACGCTGATTAGACCTCGAATACACTAAATCACGGAGCTCAAACGTGTCCCTTCTACCTTCTTACTGGCGTGCTGTGAGCATGCGGATCCTGATCCTCTCACTCCGCCTCGGGGTAGGCAGCTGTTGCGCATCCTTCTGCTTCTTGCGAGAAGTGGGAGCCCGCTCTAGGATGATCGACTGCTCTCGGGCGATCGGCTGCGCTCCGGGTGCACGACGCGCCGGTTGCGCGCGCTGGGCCTGGCGCGACGGCTGAGGTTCGTCGATGACTAGTTCGGTGTCCGTCCTCTGGAGGCGCGGCGGAGGCGACCGCTCGGGCGGGCGCTGCAAGGAGTCGGCGCGCGGAGGCTGCAACTCCCTCGGGAACCCCCAGTGAGAGTAGTACTCTGGAGGGAGCGAGCCGTCGCGTACGAAGGTTCCGTGATCGTCGTGGTACCAGCGCACAGAACCGTTCCACTCCGATGTGAATCCGCCGCCATCCTCCTGGGAGGCGCGAGAGCCGTCGGAAGTGGATGGCCCGGCCTGTGGTTCCGACGGCCCGGGCTCACTGTTCTCGTCGCTGGAGGAACGGGCGGGAATGAGGTGCACAGAAGGCTCTTCCTTGAAGACCAGTCGCTTGTTCTTGTTGTGCTTGCGGTCGGTCGCTGGTCTCTCCTCGCCCTCGCCATTCGGCGCCGCTGGCTGGGAGATGACTGCGAGCGAGGGGTCGCGCAGGAAGGCAACGCGGTCGTTGATGTTGCGAGTGCCGTGGTTGGAGTGGCGAAGTCCGTCATCCGCGGGCTGCGCGTGGCTCTGACCGCGCGGCTTGTTCTTGTTGGGGGTCAGGAGGACCGAGCCGGGGTCGTAGGAGCCAAAGCGGGGTGGTGTCTGCGGACGCTCGTCGTCGTCGCCCATCATACTTTCATCGTCGCCCATCACAGTGTCACCGTCGTCGTCGGTGAGAGCGGAGCCATCGATGGAGGATAGGTCATCCTCTACATCCTGCCTTGAGAGGGTGGTGAGACCGGCGGTGCGGCCGGCGACCTGCTGGTGGTGGTTTTCGTTCGCTGTCGACGCTCTGGTTCGCATTTCTAGTTAACTGTCGTCAAATTTGTGCTTTCGCTCGTCTGATTAAGACCACTTACTGCTTGTGCAAGGGTTGGAAAAGGAGGCTTGCTCTGCTGGACGGAAGGGTTGAAGGAGGAGTTGAGGTATGTTGCTCTCTCGTTCATGCAGGCACTCGCTCAAATACCTTTCGGCGCAACAGCGCTTTGTAGAGGAACGCCGTTGATGCGATCGGCCGTCGAAGCTTTGTGGCTCACGCTTTGACCGAGCCTATGCTTTGACCCCACGCCACGGAAGGTCCTCCCTTTGCGCTCCGGGCGTCAACTACGCATGTGGTAGCCCAAACGATATCTTGTATAGTCTCCCTTTACGCATGACGGCGAGTATATTGATCCAATGGCCACAAAAAGATAGCCCCCGATGCGCGATGCGCAGCACGAAGAAACAGCATTCGCGAGAGTTCCTTGTTTTGTCTTACGAGCGCTATATCCTCGTGGCGGACCAAACCGATTGAGCGGGATTCACATGCAGTTCATGGGCACACAGTCGCTAAGCGGCGTGAATATGTCAAGTAGGGTTCTCCCTGCCACCCTATACGGAGCATGCTTATGACCTATCAGAATCTCCCAGGAGACGATTCACGGACTAAGCGCTAGGCGTCAATCTTGCGAACGACCAGAACTCATATCTCGAGTCCACATATCGGCTGCGGCGCGGACAAATAGAATCTCGGACCTTTGCAAGCCACCTTTGCCACTTACTTAGACGCCACATGGGACTTCCCCACGAAGATCTGCGCTTCGCGGATAGCCTCGCCGCTCGGCGAATTTCCTCGCAATGTGTAACTTCGCTTGGGTGTTCACGAAATGACTTCCGCAGAGCAACCCCAGGTCCCACCGCTTGCTACAAGCGCAGCACGGGTCATCTCAGGATGGCCTGGAAGGGGTACGTCAGTGTCCTTTCGATCCATATCGCCTCATGTAGTGTTTGCGACAATCGTTAGATGGGAACCCGTCCTTTTGCGCACTATCATATGCATTGCGAATATCTCACAGTCGTATGTGACAGCCACATATCCACATATCCACACATGGGCGAGATTAATACACTAGTGAAAGAGACGCCGGCTATGCTTTGAGTCAAGTCCGAAGTTCACCGTCACTCCTTTCAGTGATAAGCTAAACCACATCAGAGTCGGCATCTTCCTCAATGTAGGGGCTGGTCGACCATTCCACCTCCACAAGGGAGTCTTCCTCAGCTTCGGGTTCAAAGAATGCTGAACTTAAAGACCCCATGGCCTGAATCGAGGAATAATTCTCTTGATGTGCCATCGCTCGATAGGTTTCGTGCAGGTCGAGCATAAAGCGGGAAATCAATATTGCTGTGATGCTGCGGTACGATTTGAACTAAATCAGTGCTAGACCAAAATCGGGTGACAATAAGATACTCTACGGCTCGGCGAACTTAGTCACGTATGACGTCTCTGTCAAAGGAGTGTGTATAGGGGAAGTCTTGTTCGATGGGTCAGTATCCGATGGAAGCGTGATGAAATCGTGAGCCACCACATACCGGAGGAAACTGAATGTGATGTGTAGGACGTTGAGTACGAGTAGGACACTGCTGGCGATTAGTAGTGCGAGTGCTCGGTTGGATCACAATTGGCTTACAAGAAGTATATGGTGCCTGCACGTGTGCCATCGGTCATAATCTCAGTGCATGATGCTAGAATAGAACACTCGCCGTTTGTGAACATAACTTTGGTCAGAAAAGACATGGATCTCTCACAAAACACGTGACGGGTTGCCTTCCATGTGACCCCGATGACTATTGCGTCGGCAATAACCTAACTTCCTCGGATGACAATGTTGCCTAGGTTCGGAGTCAATTTAATGTACAGAATCTCTTCACGAAATCTGGGTACTGACCGCTGGGCTTCTGGTTAGCTTCATAGCTCACGGCAGCGACATGACCACTCACACATTGCTGAGCAGTGTAGGTTCGTCGTTGTAGACAAGCACCCAGATGCCGAATCAGCAGTAAAGGAAGCGTGATGGAAGTCCTCCTGACGCCTTTCAACCTATGAAATGCTGAAGAGGGGCAGGATTACTCACATAATAATTCAGGGGGGATGCCAGAACAGACCATAAGAAAACAACACCACTCAGAAACCAGCTCTGGTGGCTTAGTGCATACACACGCAAAGCCAAAAACACTACTCTTGTTAGATAGTAGTCAGCTATGGCACTCTGATACTATGTTGAAGAGAAGGGAGAAACTGCCCAAGGGAGATACTCGAAGTATCTGAGCCCTATGTCGACATAGTATTGCGCCTGGTAGCTAGCTCCACATTAACGTCATAGTCGTTCTCTCGGCTCTCCTGAACTCACTCCTGCCAAAGAGCTCTAGTAGGGGTGTGGTCAACTGAAAACTATGGACTCACTAGGTAAGGTAGAGATAAGCATCGATAGTACGCGAGGCCGGCGTACTACACCAACGCAAGATAGCGATTTGTGAAGAACAGTGCTGAAGCAGGATTCACTCTGCGTCTCCAGAACAAGATGTACTCTCACTGGACAGTGAAAATGTAGTCGTAAGCGATCCAAGCTATTGAACGTCAAGTTTTTCGCTACATCAGCTCTTCATGAGAATTTGACAAACTTCCAATGCCGATGACCATGAGATTTTCAATGTAACTGAATAGTCAATCAAATGAATATAAGTCCTAGGAGCTGATCCATGCGGAGAGTACTGTGGCCGACCAACCTAGAGTGCCTTATGGAGATTATCCTCGGAGCATTGGAAAGCGACATAATGAGCAGTAATGAGAGTTTGGAGGGGCGGAAACCAGGGCGGCTCGTACGGCTCCTGGATGGGCGGATGCTATAGTACTTATACTGAGAGCAACAGAAGCAGTGTCATGATTATCACCAAGAACTTGATGAGTGCAAGGATCCTAGGAGTTGGAATAGGAATATACCTACCTCTTAGACTGTTGAACAAGTCGAACAAATTGCGGCTCCACGTTCCTGACATTCCAACACCAGAAAGAGATTCCGAGTGTCACCAGATTGAGTAATATCATTGTCACGGAGGGACTCTGTCATCCTATACTGGTAGCACGGTTCTGTATACCAAGGGTACCAAGGCAACATGAAGATGATGAAGGTCTGCGGTACCGTACTGGATGAAAGATGCACAACACGATCAACCATAATCATCCACGCCTGTCAAAGCGCGACATCATCCACGCCTGTCAAAGCGCGACATAGTCTTTGATCGCATCTTGATATCTTCTGCATGGCCGGTTCTTAGCGATGTCACCAATCACTTCACAAAGTGGATATTGAGCGTGCCCCAGCTTCGCATGATCGTGGCTTGAGATAGACGGTATCAGCTGTGGAGGCTCCTATATTCTCGCAGATCTACCCTTCTGTCCGAGAGTCAGAATATATGCGCACCCGAATGGATGCTGAAAGTCGAGGTAATTCTCAGAGGAGAGCCTCGCGGCGAATACAGAGGATCTGGATCACCATGTACTTTCAAAGGCAGCGCTGTGGTCCTCGATCAGCTTGCTGCCAAAGGATTCTTGAGACAAGACGACAACCGAAGGCATCATTCAGGTCCCTGTTAGTGTATTGCTTAGTACACGTACCTCTCAGTTCTACTGCCAGCACGAACACTTTGCACCTTGTAGATCCCAATTCATGGTGTAACAGTTCGCTTGGTTGACGATGAATATGTCCAGTTCACGCGAGAGTCGTAGAGTCCTATCTCAGTATTGCTATCTATAGGTGTGTGCATATATGAGTCTTACACATCCGCAGTCTCACGTTAAGAGAGTTTTGGCTACCAGATGCGCGGACTTAAGGTTTAACGCATTAGCGTACCTCTGTTGAAGGTGCTCGCTCCATACAGCTTTACTCGGAGCTGGTCGACCCAGGATGGAAGCACGGATAGTGATGAAACGTGACCATTTGTGTATATCCTTTCTTCGAATATAAATATATGGATGACAACAGTTGATTGGGG